CCGTCCCTCTCATTCTGACCCTGTCCCTCTCGTCCCGTCCCTCTCGCCCCGTCCCTCTCGCCCCGTCCCTCTCGCCCCGTCCCTCTCGCCCCGTCCCTCTTACTCCGTCCCTCTCGTCCCTTCCCTCTCGCCCCGTCCCTCTCTTCGTGTCCCTCTCACTCCGTCCCTCTCGCCCCGTCCCTCTGGCCCCGTCCCTCTCGTCCCTTCCCTCTCGCCCCGTCCCTCTCACTCCGTCCCTCTCTTCGTGTCCCTCTTACTCCGTCCCTCTCGCCCCGTCCCTCTCGCCCCGTCCCTCTCGTCCCTTCCCTCTCGTCCCTTCCCTCTCGCCCCGTCCCTCTCGCCCCGTCCCTCTCGCCCCGTCCCTCTCGTCCCGTCCCTCTCTGACCCCGTCCCTCTCATTCTGACCCTGTCCCACTCACTCCGTCCCTCTCGTCCCTTCCCTCTCGCCCCGTCCCTCTCATCCTGACCCTGTCCGTCCCTCTTTGTGCGTTCCAGGGTCCGTAGCGGGATGATGCAGTACGCCGCTGTGATCCAGAGGCTGTTTTCTCAGACCCTGTCTGCGTGGACGTCTCCTCCTGAATCCAGCGTGGGGCAGCAGAGAGCCTTCAGGTGGGCGGAGTTTGGACCATGTAGAAAATCATTCCTCAGGCTCATCTGAACGTTTCCGTTTCTCCCCCTGCAGCTCAGTGAGGGTCTCCGTCTACAGAACCTTAGAGCTGTGGGTCCAAGTGGTCGGAGCGTCGGCTCACGTCCTCCAAGGGGCCACCAGCCACGCCGAGCTGCTCTTCAACCAGCTGCTGGGCGACATCATGCCTGGGGCTGAATCCATCAAGGTGAGAAGAGTTTTTATCATGGAGAGAAATCCACGTCATGAGCTGAACAGTCCGCCCTCTCTGCCTCTGCAGCTGCGGGCCGGTCTGTCTGCCGACGTGGTTCCTGGGGGGAAACCTGGGCCTCGGAGAACCAAGCAGCTGGTCATGGCCGACGCGGCGGGTCCGTCGCTCCAAAGGAAGGGAGACCCTCTGTCCAACCAGGACACCTGCCTGTCGGCCCTGAAAGGTCAGCCGCCGGTTTCTCTGTTACTGCTTCAAGTTTTCTTGATAGAGATTTGGAAATGAATCCAATCCAGAAATTATGCTTTTTTTTACAGATTATATATTTTCAAATACTTTTATTTTTATTTCCGAATTTCTCTATTTCAGATTAAGTTTTACGAATGACTTTCTTTTCAAACTATGCTTTAAATCACTGTGTATTCGCTTCACTTTCTGAGGTACGGCGTCCCGACAGGGCGAGAGGAGTCGATCTGGAAAAGAAGGAAATTCAGAAAACTCATCTGAAAAAAGAAAAATTGGGGAAAAAAATAGAATTTTGCAAATATAAGATCTTTGCAAAGAATATTGAAAGAAAGAAATCTGATTAAAAACTAAAAAAAATGTAAAATCTGCTTTGAAAAAAATCTCTTACGTAGTTAAAAATTTGAAGAAATAAAATATGAAAATAAAAATCCAGAACTGTTGAAACTGTACAAGAATGTCCTCATAGATGTTCTCTGCTGACGTGTTTTTATCTTTCAGTCCTGAGGCGCATCATTCAGACCAGCGGGACGCTCCTAAAGGACGACATACACAAGGTACACGCCCACTTCATTAGCTATAGCTTAGCTTCAGGCTCATTCAGAGCAAAGCGAAGCCTTTCTGCAGGTTTTAAATCCAAGAGCGAGCGGCACTAAATCCTTTCAGACTCAGGGTTCCCGCGGGTCCTTAA